GGTCCGCCCTGCCCTGCTTCCCACTTGGTGAGGGTGAGGGAGAGGGTGCCCACTTGTCCTGTTTGTCCTCAGAGCTGCCCCGGAGCTGTGGGCTGGGTGAGGATCTCCAGCCCTACCTAGCCGATGGGGACACAGGCTCAGGGAGGGTGTGTGACCTCCGAGGGGCCACACGCAGATGTGCTGGGTGGGCTCTGATACCAAAGGAACCCCGAGGCCTCCTGAGACCAACGTGCACCCCCAGGACAGCTGCTGGCACCAAACAGACCACCATGCCGCCTTCCGCCAACTCCCCACCCCGTCGCCAGACACACCTGTGGCACCTGCCGCCGCCACTGCCGCCTGGAGCAAACCGCTCCGGCCTCCAGCCTCAGGGTTCCCCCTGTGACGCGGGCTCCTCAGGAGGGTCTGTCTCATGGGCTGTCGTGCGGATAGAAGGAGGTGGTGAGTGTAGGCCCCCAGCCCAGCCCTGCTTGTGTTCAGGGTACAGGAAACAACACTGAGTTGGGGGTGCACCAAAGGGTCAGACGTGGACCCTGCCCACCACCCGGAGCCCCAGGGCACCTGGCTAGAGCCCAGAGGGGGCACCTCATTCCAACGGGGCTGCCAGGAGCAGGGGCCGGCCCAGCGGTGTGCAGAGCCTGGAGAGCCTGTGGGCGGTGGCAGGCACCCCAGGCAGGGAGAGGGCCGCGTGCACCAGCGCCCGTGGCAGGGCCCAGCTGGATGGTCTACCGGACAAGAGGGGTGCACCCTGGCGGCCGCCGACCTGCCCACAGGTGGGCCAGGTGTCCATGTGGCCAAGCTGGGCTGCAGGTAGTGGTGGGCGGGGTCCGGTGGGGTCAAGCCTTTGGGGCTCGAGGTCGTCTCAGAGGCCAGGGAGCCAGACAGCTGCTGAGCAAGGCCCAGGGTCCAAGGGGCTTCCTAAGCCCTCGTGCCTGCTCCCCCTGGGGAAGTCGTGCAGGCAGCAACCTGGGGACTGGCCGGGCGGCCCGGCGTGATTTGGGGAGGGACCCTCTCCCAGCTCCACGCCGGGCACGCTGACCTGGGCGAGCTCCGAAGACCCCGAGCCTGTGTCCAGGTCTGTGCGGGGCTGTCGTGAGAATGAAACTGGATGAGTGTACAGAGTGCGGGCGCACGGGAACCAGGACCTAGGGCCAGCCTCCTGGGTTCTCCCCTAACGAGGACTCCCTCCGTGGGTGCCCCCCCCCCCCCCCCGTCTCCATGGTGAGACAAGAGGGTTTGGCTCATTAAAACCAAATAAAAAAGGAATTATCGGGAGTGGCGGCCCGGTGAGTAAGTGATGAGTAACCGAGTCTGAGCCGGGTCTGGGCTTGGCCAGGTGGGAGCAGGCGCTCAGCGAAGGATCCGGGAGATCCCGACACGCCCTCCGCAGGCACAGTCCTGGCCTCGGGCCTGCTGCCTGCCAGGGGCTTAGGAGGAGTCCCCATGGGCTCCTGGGGGCAGGGGGGAGGGGAGGGGGAGGGAAGAGGAGGGTCAGGCAGGGTCCAGGCCCGCCTCCTCGCTGGGGCAGGACTTTCACTCCCCCGGCCTGGCCTCTTGGCAGGACTGCACAATCGTCTGCCATTTCTCTGCCCGCCCCCCTTCACTGGTGCCTAGCTTGTGTCATACCCCCTCTGAAGCCGGCTGGGTCTCCCTGAGCTCCCCCGAACCCCAACCCAGCGTAGATCTGCTAGCTAGCTGCTAGTCCCTCTCCCCCGCCCCCGCCCCTGATCCAGGCTGTCCAAACGTAGCACCCCCTCCCCTCGCGGCTGCACCTGCTGTCCCGTCTCCTCCTGCCCAGGTCCCTTGGCTGCAAAGGGGCCACGCTGGGGACAGGAGGGCCTCCAGTGACCGCGCCCCAGGCCCCCAGGTCCCCAGGCCCTCAGGCCCTCCCTCTGCTTCTCTGGGCTTTGATTCCACTGCCTGCATTCAGATCCTGCTTCAGCCCCTAACCGTTTCATAGCCTGTACCTCACTGCGCTCCTCTGTGAGATGGGGGCAGTCATGAGAGCTGCCCCGTATGCGAAGGCTTAGAGCAGTGATGGCGAACCTAACCGGGGACAGGAGGGCCTCCAGTGACCGCGCCGCAGGCCCCCAGGCCCCCAGGTCCCCAGGCCCTCCCTCTGCTTCTCTGGGCTTTGATTCCACCGCCTGCATTCAGATCCTGCTTCAGCCCCTAACCGTTTCATAGCCTGTGCGCTCCTCTGTGAGATGGGGGCAGTAATGAGAGCTGCCCCGTATGCGAAGGCTTAGAGCAGTGATGGCGAACCTATGACACGATGCTGGGATGCGGGACAGCTGCTGAGTGATAGCAATGGCCACCGGGCCCGCCCAGCTCTGCTGCCCTCTCTAACCAGTTCCGGGACGCCCACCCCTCGTGCGGCCGTGAGCTCTCGATTCTGAGTGCCACCGCGTCCGACCCCAGCCCGCACAGTGCCGCCTGCTTCACAGGAGTCTCTGGCCTGCCACAAGCAGCTCCCCCAGACCTCAACCACCTCTCTCCTTGTTACTCTTGACCTCATACTTCTGCAGCCTGCAGCACCAAACCGCCACACCTCTGTGCCTTTGCTCCTGCCGTGGCCAGGAGTGTGCACACACCCACACACCATGGGTGCACACACTAGACACGTATACACACACTCATACCACACGCGCTCACAGGGAGTTAACATGTGCTTCTTGTTAAACTTTAAGATGTCACCCCCTCCAGGAAGCCTCCCCAGACTCCACCTCCACCGAGGCAGGTCAGGCATCCTTTGAGGTTCCATGCCTCCCTGCGGCCCCTTCTTGCAGAGTCCCAGTCACCTCTTTCCCTGGGACCCCACCTGGCTGATCACTCCTGCCCGTGTGTCCTGTGGCCGCTTGTCGGCAGGCTCTGCTGGGCTTGGGCAACACAAGCAAGGGGTTTAATACCCACTTCACACCCAGCGGACTTCCCTTCCGAGCGTAGTGGCCTAATTTAGAGCCGGGAGGTCGGTTCCCATGTTCCCCTGTCCCTGTGTCTGTCTGGCAGTCCCTGGTCAGCCGGCCTTGATGGCACAGGGACTGGGGCTCCTCAGAGCCACGCCCTGTGCTGAAGGACGGTTGGTTATGGAGCCGGGGAGCGGAGCCCCTGTGGTCAGCTGGTCCCCGGGTGGCCGTGCTCTGACCCGGCTGGGAGCGAAGCGCCCCCAGGGAACAAGGACTTCAAGGGTGAGCCCCCCAGGAGAACGGGGACCCCATCTAAGTGAGCCCCCAGGCGGTTAGTGGGTGAGGAGGTGGACCCCAGAGCACACAGTGAGCGCCAAGCACAGGCTGGGCATACGGTCAGTGCTCACTCATGTTATGGAATGAGCCTGACTTGACCCTTAACCCTCCTTCAATCTGGAGGGTCACCCCAGCCCCCAGCAGCAGGGACCGCAGCCAGGTGAGCAGAGGGCCCGGTGGCAGTCAGGGACACAGGTAGGGGCTTGTGGACGGCCAGGGTCGCGGGTTCCCAGCTGTCCCTCCCGGGACGGAAGCCGGCCCTGCCCCGTTACCGCTTCGCCAGGCGGTGGGATTCCGGCTCGTCCATCAGAGGGGGCTTTGGTCCCAGGAGCACCACTGAGCCCTGTGCACGCAGTGCCGGGCTGGGGCCCACAGGGAGCCTCCGGTCATGGGCACGGGGACAGGGGGCCGAGAGACGGCCAGGATGGTGGGTGCACAGGGCCTGCCCAGCACCACTGAGCCCTGTGCCTGCAGTGCTGGGCTGGGGCACACAGGGAGCCTCCGGGCGTGGGCACGGGGACAGGGGGCGAGAGACGGCCAGGATGGTGGGTGCACAGGGCCTGCCCAGGGGCCGTGGAAAATAAAGAACTAGAGCTGGACCCGTTCCTCTCAGGAGCCTCGGACCCCGCTGTAGCGAGGAAGTCCCCGCGGCGGGGCTAAGACAGACAGTGTGGAGAGCCAGGAGAGGGTCAGACCTGCCACGGAAGGAGGCCGGCGGCAAGGGCTCACTCCAGCGGTGCCGTGGAGGGCTGCCAGGAGGAGGCATGGGAACGGGTAGGATTTGGGCAGGAAGGAGAGGGAACTCCACCAAAAAGACCAGGTAACCCCCAGGGCATGTGAGCAGCCCTGGAAGGGGCGTCGTTTTGATGGACGGAGGCCGTGGGGGTGGGCACTGGGCTTGGAGGGTGGGCACAGGCTTCCGGTTTGGGCTGTGGCCGGCCCTGCCCAGCTCAGGCAGAGGGGAGCTGCGGAGG